ACACACACACACCCACCCACCCACCCTAACAGCGCTTAGCCCTAAAAGCTTACGTAAGCTTGACAAACCCGCCTATTTCCTCTCGCAAGTAAGGAATGCCAGGAAGAGAGGTGACCTGACCTGCGAGGCACGGAGATNNCCTCTTAAGAGAGCCAGAAGTAGGGTTAAGAAGGGTCCCCTCTAAAGGGGTCTCCTTAATACTACCTACCATAAACCCTAACCGAAACCTTAAACCCTTAAACCCTAAACCCTAAGCCTAAGCCCGAATGCCTTAAAACCCTAAAGACCAAATCAAAATGAAGCAACTCTTAGACCCTAGACCCAAGCCCCAAAGACAAAGCCTGCAATGCCAAACCTTATGAGGCTTAGGTCTGAAGACTAAACCTGATATCCGATATCCTGAGCCCTAAATCCCAAGTCCCAAGAAGCCCCTCCAACCCTAAGCCCTAACCTCTAAACCCTGAGCCCTAAACGCGCCAAGCCCACTCAAAAACCCCAAACCCTAAACCCCAAAAGCCCCAAGCCCTAAAACCCTAAAGCCCTAAACTCTAAACCCCGGAGCCCTAATTACAGTAAGCCTCGTAGTAACCCGTAAAGGAACCCTCTAACGGGCCCCAAAGAGCTCCAAAAGCTCTAGAACGGTAAATCCGTCAACAGATCCTAGAACCCTATAACCTCTAAAACCCTAAACCCTAAGCCCCATGCCTCTTAAGCCCTAAGCTAAAAGCCCCACAAAAGCTTCGACAGAAAGAGGTGCCACTACACTTAAAAAGAAAAAATCCCACACCCTCGCCCCTTAACCCAAACCCTAAACCCTAAGCCCTAAACCCTAAGCCCGAAAATCTGGAACTGTGATCTCCTCCCTGCCCCCAAGAGGTCCTAGCCATCCTCAGAGAGGAGGAGGACTTCAAACTGAGCCCTATCCACGTCGGCTACGGAGTCAATGCGGGGGCTTTTGCGTGTGGGGTTTCAGAGGTTTCAGGGGTTTTTGAGTTTTTTTTTGGGAGTTTAGGGCTTTTTGGGGGTTTAGGGTTCGATTAGGGTGTTCTTTGGGCTTTGGGTTTAGGTTTGCAAGTGCTCCCTTCGACAGGCATAGAGGAAATGCAAGGCCACCCAGAAGACCTTACTATCGGTTGCAAGGATTTCTTTCATGCATCCGGAAACCGAGCACTATGGGATTCTAAACCCTAAAACCCTAAAGCTCTAAACCCTAAACCCTAAACCGTTTTTTGGGGCTTCAGGCATTGAGAGTTGTAGGGCTTGGTGCTTTGGGGTTCTTTTCGGAGTCAGGCTGCTGTAGGATTTTTGGAGCTTTCGCGTTTCTGGCCTCAGGTTGCTTCAGGGTTTGAGGGTTTAGGGTTTATAGGGTTTCGGGTTTAGTGGTTTAGGGTTTGAGGGTTCAGGGTTTCGGGTTAGGGTTTAGGGGGTCGGCTGGACGCTAAGCATTGAAGTTTTGGAATGTAGGTTCTGGTTGCATCACCTGGCCCTCAGGGTGCGAAGGACCTAGCAATTACCAGGACCCTCCTTGTACACTCAAGTAGGGGTATGTGGTCCCAAATGCTGGGTATTTAGGGTCTATTAGAGGATAGATGGAGGGTCTGGGTAGGTACTGTGGTTTAGTGTTTCGGGAGAGCTTATGATTACTAGGCACAGTCCTTGAGTCCTTACACCCACAACTTGCATTCACCGACACATGAAGCCTAGACCCTTAACTTGAGACCTCCCGACCACGGAGGATCAAAAGCCAGTCCTTGGATTCGGGTTTGTGATTTCAACTATCAGTTTTTTCGATTAAGGGGAACATGTGACTTTGAGGGGGTGATTTTTCTGCTCGGCAAAATGAAAAGTGTGAAGACAGTATGCCTGTGTGCATCTCCATCTGTATGGTTCGCATTATTCTCGGAGGTTCAATGCCTTCATGATTGCCAAAACAGAACCCGAAATCGAAAACTATATTCATAAACATTTTCCCCAACACACAAGTAGTGGCGGGATGTCTCAACCCTACACCCTTAAACCGTAAACCTCAAGACGACACATGTCGGAACACCCGGACTACCGATGCAGGCATGCGTATCTTCTGCTTTGTGGCGCCAGGCGCTGTTGCTGTTCAAGGATGCTCCCGAATGGTCACCTACACCCTAAACCCTAAGCAATCCTGAACTTTGCAGACTTAATCCGAGACTCGATTCTCCGAACCCCTAAACCCTAAACCCTACACCATCAGCAACCCAAAACTCTATAACCCTGTAACCCTAAACCCTAAACCCTATAGACCCTAAACCCTATAGACCCTAAACCCCTAAACCCCAAACCCTAAACCCTACACCATCAGAAGTCCCATTCATGAATCACCGAGATCCAGGAGGCTCCAGATGGTCATAACTTCAGTGGGGCGCCGTGGCAGCCTCCGGTTTAGGGTTTAGGGTTTAGGGTTTAAGGTAGAAATATAAAACAACGACGCCGAATTCGGGGGTTTCATGTTTTTTAGGAGTTTGGGTCCGGGGCTGTAGGGTTCGTGAGGCCTTCAGGGTTTAGGCCTAGGGTTCAGGTAGGAGGCATTTGAGTTTTAGGGTTCGTGAGGGCTTAGGGCCTAGGGTTTAGGAGGCATGTAGGTTGTAGGGTTCGTGGGGCTCTTGTATGGGGCTCGGGGCTTTCGACGACACCTCAGGCACTGAAGGCTTGCGCCAAGGGGACGGAGTGGGAACTCTCCCTGCACCTGTTTGCATCGATGGACGAGGCATCCTTCTGGTTGGATTTACGCAAGCCCTGGTTTAGGGTCTAGGGTTGGGGTTTAGAACTTAGAACCCTAAACCCTAAACCCTGGAGCCTCATCAGGCCTTCTGAATGCCCTTCCTTTCGTCGGACATGTGGGCTTCCTGTGGCTTGTCGATGCCTGAACCTCGAAAGCCGAGCCCACGCATTATGGCTGACGAGTTTAGGGTTTCAAGGGTTTGGTGATATACGGGCCCCTAAACCCGAAGCCCCAGCCCCTTAATCAAAGTGGCGACGAGTGCCCCTAAGCCCAGCCAAGCCTGCAGGCTTCGCTCCAGGCCAATCACATCCACTACAGCACCTTGGAGACCGAAATGGCCCTCAAGAGCAGAAACCTCTATACTCTTGTACTACGAACCCTAGACCCTAAAGGGTTTCCCATTGCACCTTAAAAGAAAACTCGAAACCCTTTTAGAGTACATGTCGTCCTGAAGGCAGTGCCATCGTCGCCTGCGAAAAGGGAGAGAGCTACTCGGCTTCCTCCAGGGGTTTGGGGTTTAGGGCTATAGGGGGTTTTACGGTTTTGGGGTTTAGGGCTATAGGAGCTAGGAGTAAGGGCTTTACGGTTTTGGGGTTTAGGGGCTTAGTGCGGCTTAGTCTTTAGGGTTTATAGCATCCGACCGTGTTTGGGGAGTGGGCGTATTTACAACAAACCAAATTCAAAGGTTAGTAGTTCTCTAACTCCTATCTTATCCAAACTGTCAACCTTCAGTCCTATCTTGTAAGGGCCTGAAGAGTAGGTAATAGGGTTGATGATATAACACCTGCATTACCCATAATATAAGGAATATACCAGGACTCCCATAGGTTAGGGTCCTTAAGGTAATGCAGAATTTATATCATCAACAGTAGTAGCCCTTTAGAACTTTATACCCAGACCTTCCAATATCCCATAAGTAAGGAATAGACTTTATTTAATTCATAATAGGATCCCTAGTTTGGGTTTTGGTGTCTCCCGTAATGAAGGGATATTGGAAGGTCTGCCTGACTCACTTGTAGTCTACGTTTATACCCCAAAACCTATTCTAAGTATTGAGGGCCCTGTATTAAACCCCTCGAGGTAACCCTTATCATGCCCCTTATGAAGCTTGTAACGAACCAGTAAAGGAACGCTATTCTAGCTGTTGAGGCCACTATAGTCAGCCCGACATCCGCTTAGGTTGGGAGCTCGCCTTACAGCTGTTGCAGTCCATGGACCATGCGCAGATCATCCCGGACCGTGTCAACTACAGTGCAGTGCCGGAGCGGGAAAACATGGGTTTAGGCTTGAGGATTTAGGGTGTTGGCTTGAGGTTTAGGGTTTATCCTTCTGACTCTTTTGATAGTCAACGATGCTCATGCTGCTGATGTGCTAACGATCATGCCGATGGCTCGGGTTATCATGATGACGATGTTGTTGATGACGAAGATGAAGAAGACGATAATGCTCGTCAGGTTTTGTTCATTAGCCTCTAGTCAGGGTGTCTGTTGTCTCCTCTGGACTTTTATATCATCCGCACTACGTCATGACATGGGCAAGACCGTCTTCCTTCAAGGCCATGAGCGCTTGCGAGAAGGGGTCTCGCTGGCAGCTCGCCCTGAGCATCTTCGAGCTGCTACCACGGAGAAGTCTGGAGATGGATGTGACCTCCGTCAACACCACCCTGAGCTCGTGCATGAAGGGATGGCAGTGGAAAATGTCGTTGGAGATCCTGTCTTACATGCCCAAAGCAAAGCTGCTGCCGGATAAAATCAGCTATAGCCTCAGCATCGGTGCCTGTGGGAAGGAAGCGAAGTGGCAGCACTCCCTGCAGCTGCTGGAGTCCATGCCGGAAAAGGAGGTGATACCGGATGCCATCTGCTACAGCGTCGCCATCGGCTCATGTGCCCGGGGTGCTGAGTGGCAGCGGGCGCTGAAGCTTTTTCATGGACTTCCCAGTGCCAGTTTCTGCCCAAGCATCATCACCTACAATGAAGTCCTGACTTGCTTGCACACAGCCGAAGAGGTCAAAGAAATGGGCTACGTCCTCTTCAAGCAGGCCATGCGGCAGGGGTTCTACAGCCGCCTCCTCCACAAAGGTGCCCGGAATCTCGATGTTCACGAGATGTCCCCAGGGGCGGCGGTCCTGGCTGTGAGGTGGTGGCTTTCCGAGGTGGGGTGTTTCGGAAAATAAGGCACCCCAACCCTAAACCCTAAACCCCCAACGCAGCCCCAAACACTACATGCAGTCCTTTGTTCCAAAATGCCCGCGAAACTGGACCGATGCCCTAGGCTTCCTTAGTAGCAATCATGGTATAACATCCCCCCCAAATAAGCTTCCTCAGTGACAATGATAGTAATTAATAGTAACAGTATAACAGCCCAAACATAGGCTTCCTTAGCGACAATCATAGTAGCAGTATAACAGACCCCAAAGCCCGGTTTTTATTCTAAGCCCGAATGTTGAAACTGCAGGTCCTGCCCACTGTCCTCGGGAAAGATCTCAGCCTCTGCCGTGTCATCACGGGCTGGGGCAAGTCCCGCAAGGCCAGGGCTTCAGGCTTAGGGTTTAGGGCTTAAGGTTTAGGGTTTAGGTTTTAGGGTTTAGGGTTTAGGGGTTTAGGGTTTAGGGTTTACGGTTTAGGGATTCGGATTCTGAAGAAGTGCAGAACACTTAGGACTTTGCAGTCTGGCGCTCAAGGCTAGAGAAGATCGCGAGGAATGGGTACATGTGGGTAGTTCTCTAAATGTTGGTCCCTTCGTAGGTCCCCAAAAGAGTACGGCACCCTTATGAGATGGACCTCAAAAAAAGGACCCTAATTTCGAGACCTAGCCCCATGTGCCATAGATAGAGTGATGGCTGCTTTACAGCGGGTGATGTGCCACGTACGAAGAGCTCCAGTGCCCAAACCTTTGCTGCATCCAGTCCCCATCCAAGCCCTGTTTCTTCAAGGGGGCGATAGTTATAAAGTGACCGCCGGCAATACAATACACACTGCGGCTGAATAGTCATAAAAACCTCTCCTTATCGCCCCTCTGTACCTACACCGTAATACTTTAATATGCCCTACACCCTAAACCCTAAACTCCATCATGAACCCTCTCCTTATAGTTCCCCTATACCCTATACTGTAATACTGTAATATGCCCTATACCCTAAACCCTAAACCATCTCATGCAGCTGAAAGCCGGCCCCGGAGCTTGGGTCCTTAAAGCCAAAGCAGATGGACAGCAAAAGCCGTCTTAGGGTTTAGGGCCTATAGGGTTTAGGGTGCCCCCATCCAGAATATGGAAATCCTTTGCAGCTCCAATAGGGGGGGTTTAGGGTTTAGGGTAGAACAGCACAGGATATAGGTTTCAAGCAAAACTCGCGCCTAAGCCCTAAGCCTCTACAGCCCAGACCCTAAGCCCCGCAAAAGCCTGCAACTCTACGTACAGTTAAGTAGTAATTCAAGGCTACAAGCAGGCAAGCATAGGGTTTTTTCATGGTATACTATATATACCCCATCACAAGACGAACCGCCGAGTGTCCGAAGGCCTGGCGGGACTCCGACGTCAAGGCAGCGGTCGCGCATTTCCTCTCCGCGCGGGGCTTTGTGACCACATCCCAGGAGTTACAGGCACCTGGGACCCGACCATGAGAGGTTTGTGAGAAGGACTTGAAAAAGGGGATTCGGATTTCTACAAGAGGCTCCATACAAGGGATTCAGTAAAGTTCGAAAGGGGCTTTCCAGGGCTTCAGGGTTGCGGCTTTTAGGGTGTTTTTTTGGGGTCAGATTTCGAGTCTAGTGTTTAAGGCTTAAGGGATTCGGGGTTTACAGGGTTTAGGGTGTAAGGTTTTTGTTTTTAATATAGGGGCCTTAATAATTACCTACACTATTTTGGGGGGCTCCTTAATAAAACTAGAGTATAGACCCTAATTGTTGCTGCACGTTGCGTCTGAGGCCGC